CCAGACCTTGTGATTCTTGAAGTTTGTTTTCTGTTCAAGAAAAAGGTGAGGCTCAATTTAAATAAGGAGTTCCAGGCAAATTTCTACCTTTCTAGAAAGTATAGTGAAACTATTGTGATAGCCTGAGTTTCTGTCTTCGACATTTCTTAGAATCCTTGGTTTTAAAAGGAATAGTCCTGGCACTAACCGGTTTGGCTCAGTAGATAGAGCATTGGCCTGCATACTGAAAGGTCCCAGGTTCAATTCCAGGCAAGTGCCATGTACCTTGGTTGCGGGCACATCCCCAGTGGGAGGTGTGCAGGAGGCAGCTGATCTATGTTTCTCTCTCATTGATGTTTCTAGCTCTCTATCCTTCTCCCTTCCTCTCTGTAAAAAAAATCAATAAAAAAAGGAATAGGCCTGTCTTACTATGACAACAGAGATATGATTAGAACAATTTTCCTTACCATTATCCAGTTTGTGGCTTTCAACAAAGATTTGCTGTAAATACAAACCACAATCTCAGTGCCTTTATTGGTAAATAGAGTTGTATTGGTGAACTGATACAGTAATTCCACTTTTATAACTATCAATACTCCAACTTACAATTACATTAAATTTAATGCTTTTGGCTAGGCATTTTTAGAAATGAGTGTGCTTATGTAATCTAAGAAATAAGGAAATGCCTTATAAATCTAGGGGTGATTTAAAAGCTTTCTTAAAGTTATTCAATATCAGATATCTAGTAAAGTTGGTTCCTGTAAATTAATAGCTACCAACTGTAAATTAATAGCTACCAACCAATTATGTACTATAAAAACTGTAATAACCATGAAGAGCATTTTGCATATATCAATAAACCTTGTATATAAGGAAAAGTTTCTAAAAATACCTGAAAAAACAAACAAAGGCTTAAGCATCACGTGATATATGAGCAGCAATATATCAGTATTTCCACTGGTGGTTGTAAGATAATAAATTCAGCATTCCTTTAATAACATTTTCCCCCTATGTGGTACAATAATACCTCAGTACAATAAAACTTTATCTTTATATCTGCTTGCTAACTTATTAACTAACAAGTTATGCTTATCAAGCTAATTTATCCTGTTTTGATGCTCTTGAGATTAGAAATATTTTGTTAAGTTACTTGCACTGGTGGGAAAGTGATTGAATTTATGTGTCAAGCTTGTTTGGGCCCTCTTTTGAGTGTGGCTGGATCTGTTTTTACAATTTATGTACAATGCTTTGTGGCCTGAAATTTCATTACAACATAAACTCAATCCATTTGTGTGTAAGAGTAGACGAGCTACAGCTGATCCTGTAAGAACCTGAAAAACCCACAGTTCTATAGTCTAGCTCTGCAGTCATAAAGCTGTATCTAAAATATGGCCACAGGCAATCTATACCAATAAAAGAGTAATATGCTAGTTAGATCGGGAGGCTTTCCAGATGTCCTTCTGGGCAAAACCATGGTGGCAAGGCCAAGGCAGAGGTGATTAGGGGCAATGAGGCCAGAATGGAGGGCAGTTGGGGACAATCAAGCCAGCAATGGGGGCAGTTGGGGGTGAGCAGGCTGCCGGAGGGGCAGTTGGGGGCAATCAGGCTGGCAAGGGGGGTAGTAGGGAATGAGAAGGCTGGTGAGGGGATAGTTGGGGGCTGGCAGGCCAGCAGGCAGAGTGGTTAGGGGCAATCAGGCAGGCAAGCAGGTGAGTGGTTAGAAGCCAGTGGTTCTGGATTGCAAGAGGGATGTCAACTGCCGGTTTAGGCCTGATCCCATATCGGGTCTAAACCAGCAGTCGGACATCCCCCGAGGGGTCCCAGATTGGAGAGGGTGCAGGCTGGGCTGAGGGGCACTCCCCCCAACACCGTGCACAAATTTTGTGCACTGAGCCACTAGTTAAGAATAAAAACATAAAGCAAGTTGGTGAGGGAAGATTTATGAGGACAAAACTATTTTCTGGCTGCTGGATTAATTGAATGATCAAAATTAAAATCAATGTCTACATATTTTCTGATTTTCTTTATATAATTGGGTTCAGGTCCATTTTAAAACAAAAAGGAACTCTGTGACTGAGGCTACACATGTGGATGATACAAACTTCATCAATCCTGAAGGTATAGAGATACAAAATTTTTATATTTTATAACATAATTTTTAGTGTGAAGCTAAATTTGTTTAAATAGAAAACTATGCTAAAACTGGTCTTGCCTACCTTTTCCTTTAACTTTGAGAAAAACATATTTTACCACTTTCAAATTGTATTGAAGCATTATATACATCTTCTGTAATCCTTTATTATCTTTCTCCATTAATGTATTTATTCAAATATTATTGAGGCCTCATATGCCAGGCAGTCTTGTGAGGACAAGGAAAGTATTAGGGACAAGGAGTTACATTTAGGTATGTGTTCAGAGGGAGAAGACCTATAAATAAGTGCATTATGGAATATGTGAGGAAATTGTACTACAAATATGCTGGGATAGAATCACTCTGGTAGTAATTTAATATCAGATACCTTGTGTATGGCAAGGTAGGTGAAGAGGGAAAAGACAGCTCTGAGCTCCATCGCCAAGAGGTAACATCGTGAGGCAGTGGTGAAAATCTGTCTTTATTCCTCACCCATGGTACCAGCTGCTGGTGAATGTCAATTTCATCATTCTAGGTGTAATTAAAAATAAAATCTCACTGTCTTGTCCCATATTGAAAATATACTTATGTTGAATGCTAGAAAAGATGTAACTTTCCTATAAGTAGGATCCTAAAATACTGACTCATTCACTATGCTTTTAATGGCTGCATCTGACCAAGAGGGCTTTTTACTTTCATTTTCTAGCTGGGGCAATTCAGTCATTGTGGTTTAGTTACATGATTTCTAAAGGAAGTTACGAATGAGCCTGCTAGTTTGAGTCAGGGTGCCTTCCTAGTCTAAATTTGTGTTTTTGTTTGTTTGTTTGTTTGCTTGTTTGTTTTATTTTATTTTAGGAACTGAAGGACATTGGTTACTTTCCTCCTATTATGAAACATTATGTCCTTTTCTGGACAGGATAACTGCTTAGATTTCCACTTCTGGTTGTATCAGGTACTAATGAATATTTTATATGGCTAAAATTATTTCCTGATATAAGCACATGCTCATGTAGCCCTAACCAAACACTCAGCCACGTCACATAGCCTGTAAGACAAAAAAAATCCTCTATTAAAGAACTCAGAGTTTTCAGAAAGCTGGTAAAATTTTCCCTTGAAAGTTTGTGGAATGTATGACATAGCTGTTCACCACATTTTAAAAATGAAATAGTAACAACAAATGTCAGTTACTTTATCTCATCTATTTGATCTTTTCCTTGCTGAAAGCCTCTAATGGAATTACTGTCTTTTTAGCTAACCAGCTTGTAGAATATGTGGGTAGAGGTATTCAATATTTATGAAATGTCTATTTTCTCAGAGGATAGAAGCGACTGATTTTTCCCACCCTCATAAATGAAAGAACATATTAATTGCTACTTGAACCCGTTACATTTTCATTTTAATTAAAACATAGTATAGGGCAAAACGGTCATGCTTTCAAAGTAAAAGCTGAGCATTTCTTGAAAACATCTTGCTCAAAAGTTTTGGAGTCAAACAGCCTCTGGAAGAGGGAGGAAAACTGCAGTTCCTGTCAACACAATTAGGAAGTGGCTTCCTAGAATTGTTTTTATGTTTTTAATAAGAGTGCTTAACCATAAAAATGCAAGGACAGTTTCATTAATGGTATTCGAAAAATTGGTAGGTTTCCATGTATCTCATATTTACTCATGAGTTAGAATGGCATCATAACTATGCCTGTTTATGGAGCTGACATGCCTCTGAAAAACATGAACCTGGGTTTGAGGTAGAAAGCACTGGAAATCTCTCTCAACACTAAACAGGAGCTCAAAGGCAATGTGAAGGCCTCTGGCTACTATTTTTTCAGTAGTTGCATCAGCTTTAAGTTCACCTACCCTTTAGGGAAAGAGTGTGGTTAAGGGGGATTGATTAGAAATCTTAAAAAGCTGAAAACTCTTGTATTTTAATCTCCATTCCCAGTAGCCATAGGCAACTTGCCTCTACCACAGAGGCAATTCAGAATGTAAATGTTGTTAGAGCATCCTAAACTGATTGAGCAAAAAACAATTTTATCAAGGTATATTCCCACGCCTTTTTAGGGCAGCTATTCTTATTAAACAGCAAGGGGAGTAATATAAGCCTACACAATGGGTGCCAGTCTTCCCCCACACTCATCCCTAAGAATTCTAGTGCATCAAATAAAGCCTTAAAAACTTTAATAAGTTTCTCAAAAAGCTTTCCCTGTGGCACAGGAATCCCAGCTTCCCACTTTTCTTCCCCATGAAAAGTTATAATAGCTATTGGAGTGGAATCCTTAGATGACATCCAAACTGGGCCCAAGGCTCCAAAGGCTGGTGGGTTGAGAGTTGTTCGGAGGCCTCTAAACAAAAGCCGAGTTTATGAGATAGGTTCAGTGCCTCGCTCATTCTTCACAATCGTGTCCTGTTGAGTTCTTTGCATTGACAGCCTCTTAGTCATTTTTTTCCCCCTCAATCAAAAACAGTTTCACGATGATATTCCATATCCCATTTTCATCGGTACTTGAAATGTAGTATTGAAAGGACCAGGCATCTTTCACAAAGCACAACGGGACATTGATAACTGTGCAGATTAACTCTTGGTTCAATCTCAGGCCTTATTTCTTACTTTATGATTTTTTTTTTTTTTTTTTAGACCAGCAGGCTTTCCCTCATCAGGCTGATGATGGCTCCCTTCACACATACCCCTCAAGACTTCTGTACAATATAAAGTAGAAGATCAAAAACAGATAGGAAAAAAAGAGTAAGGGAATGAAATGAAAACTGAAAGAAATGTAGTGGGAAGGAAACAAAGGTCCGTGAAAGATGAGCTCAAGTTTCATGTTGGTGATGATTAGTCTTGCAAACTCTTCTGAGACCTGTGGATTTTGCCTAAAATCCATTTTTTTCTTTCTTTTTTAAAAGACTTCTAATAATGAGCAATTATTCTCTCATCTGAAGGGTTGAAACTCTTCTGAAAACGTTTGCTAAGGCCAGGCACTTGGACACTCAGTCACATGCGGCAGAACCAGGCACATGGAGGACAGCTGACTCCACAGAACCAGGGACTTGGGTAAGTGCCCAGCACTGAAGCCACCTAAAGTGACTGCAAACGCTGTCTTTTTAGGCAGCACAGAAAAAACTCATTTTGACTTAATAATGTTTTTATAATACAAGGCAACTTCTGGTGGTGTGGTTCCAGGGATGGGTAAGGGTTGGGCCGGGAAGTACCTTAAATATAGCAAAAGGAAGAGAAAATCATCTTCCCATAGTTGGATATAGAAAGGTAGAAGTAAATTTTTACCATGTCAAATAGTTTGATTAGATTTGGAGAAAGGACTGACTCTTTTGGTAGCTTCTTCAATTTTTAGGTCAGAACTTGAGGTCAAAGTTGTGTAGGATTCATCACACCATTGCATTTCTGTCTTAAGTCCTATCTACAGTCCACCTCCAGTCAGCTACAGCTGACAGGTGCTCCATTAATGGAAGCAAACAGTTTATATTTGACATTTCTTATCAGGATTTCATCATACCAGAAAAGCTCGCTGAATGTGTAGAAAAACATCTCTAATTACCAAAATAATAGGATCATGAAATAATGGTTTGATTTTCTTTTAAATGAAAATTATTTTAATGATGAACCTAAAATTGTCAGAAGTGACATGGCGCTCACCTAACCTGGGAGAAGTCATCCATGACTCAAAGGAAACGTTGTGATTTCCATTTCTCAGGGGGTCTCTAAGGCTCCTTCCATTCCAAGATTGCCCTTGATAAAATCAGTTTTGGTTTTTTTTATATTAAGAAAGAAACTTCACTTCTTGAGTGAAGTAAATTTTTCATGTATTTAAGATAATATTTTTGGTTCTTAGGAGCATGACATTATTCATTTTGCTACTCTGAATTGGCCTTTTATAATTCATTTTAGGGACAAAGAAAAAAATCTAAGATGTCAGTTTAAGTAAAATTGGTAGCAACACAAAAGAGGCTTGAGTATAGTTAAAATCTAATAATTCTTTTAATACACAATAGAAAATACCTATTATTTTATTTTGTAGTCACTAGCTTTACAATTTGAGACACATATCAGAACTATTATTTGAGCCATTGCTTCTTGTTACACATTTTTAAAGTCCTTAAGTGATTTTTTAGTTTTCTTCGCTATTATAATACTTGGATAAATATAAAAATCTATACTTTCAGTTTAGAGATTTTTAGAAACAGCTTCAAAATAAAATATAGTAATCATTATTGTTAACAGCCACATAATATAGAATAGATATCACGGCAATTCTACACTCCTTTTTAGACATTTAAAGCTCCCCTCCACCTGTTTCAAGAAGGACTATATTAATGATGCAAAGGTAATAAACAATTGAATTTTAAGCCACAGAATCTTATTTTAAAGGTAACTTTTGAAGCATGAGCAGATGCTCACACTATAATCTATTTAGTAATGGCATCATAGAGTGCATTACTGAAGATTTATGTTTTTGTAGCTTTTTCAATAGCTTGGAAGGCATTAAGTTCATTGATAATGAGAATGATAATCTTTTACATCATTTAAATACCTATTAGCAATGTTTGCTTGCAAGGAATTCAATTTTTTGGATAATTTACAAAAAATTCCCTTTTTTTGTATTTAAATTAGGTCAAGACTATGAGTTAAGCTTGATATGGTTTTCTGTGTTTTGTCTTTGTTACAAAATGGTGTAGTTTGGGAGCTGGGCTTAACAGCTTTACCAAGACATGAAAAAGTAAACATTGTTTTACATATTCAGAGTCATTGCTGATTATTATTAGATGTCTATGTCGATCTCCAGTAGAAAATTATAGGAATTCCAAACTTGGAAGACTTCGATGATGAGGTGAAAAAAGGTACACCTCAAAAAAAGTAAACGATTGATTTGACCAGCTTCTTAATACTTTTCCAAATATTGAATGAACATCATGGAAAATATTTTATTGCTGCTGGCCTATGGCCTTTACCGAAGCTTACAGAAAAAAAAATATTAATGATAAAATAAAAAAGATGATATTGGCTAAAATAAATCCTCTTAGACATATATTATGTTCTCTCCCCAAAATGTAGTGTTGCATATGGATATAGTCATACACTAATTGTTTAAAGCAGGATTGGAAAACATCTCTAGAAAATGCCAGATAGTAAACATTTTAGTCTTTGTGGGTCTCTGCCATGATTATTGAAATCTGTCATTGCAGCTCAAAAGCAGCCATGGAAAAGACACCCACAAGTGAGCTTAGCTGTATTTTCATAAGATTACATTTGTAGACATTGATATTTGAATTTTATGTGATGTTTGCCTTTCATGAAGTATTTTTTTTTATTTTTTAACTATTTTAAAAAATGTGAAACCTGCTTTTACTAATACTCTATGCAAAAATAGGCGATGGATAGAATTCAGCCTGTTGGCTATGGTTTTCTGACCTTTATTTTAAAGCATTAATTTTCTAGAATTCACAGGAAGATATACCAGCACGTCCAGAAATATAAAAACAACAAACACAAAATTACATACACGGATTTTTTTCATTTTTTTATAGCGACAAAATATTTTAAAAATATAGAGCTAAACAGTGAAAAAAGTTTCTAGTCTTCAAGAACAGCAAAATTAAAGTCAGGTTAATATGACCATTTTGTTATTTCTGTTGCTATATCTGTGAAAAATTCAAATAATATATCTGAAAAATATTTTTACTTTGTTTAAAAGATTGTTAAAGCCAAGTAAAAATGTCTGCATCTTTTTTGTTTGTATAATTAAAAAATGAGATTAACTTGAAATTTCCAATGTCATTATAGTTATCATATTTTCAATTACTATGTATGGATGCAAAAGTTGGACAGTGAAGAAGGCTAATAGGAAAAAAAAACACATTCATTTAAAATACAGCGTTAGAGAAGGCTCTATGACGCCATGGACCGCTGGAAAGACAAACAAGTGGGCCCTTGGGCAAATGAAGCCTGAAATACTGCTGAAGGCAAAAGTGACAAAACTAAAGCTGTCCTAGTTGAGGCACATCATAAGAAGGCAGGGTTCTTTGGAAAAGGCAAAATAGAAGGCAACAGGGAAAGAGGGAGACCAAATTTGAGATGGGTTGACTTCATAAAGGAAGCTATAGATGTGAGTCTACAGGAGTTGTGCAGGACTGTTGAGGACAAGACTTTGTGAACATCAGACATTCGTTGGGCCATCAGATGTTGGAGCTGACTGAATGGTACTTAACAAAATGTAAACTTGCATCATTAAAGTAAGAAAGAATGAAGACCACTTATTGTCAGGTATTATAATTTAAAGCGCTATATTTGCTCATATATGCTTATTTAATAAATAGCCAGAATTCATATAACTACATTGTCCCTCAGTTGAACACACCTATCTCATCATTAAACTACTGAATAAATCTTCTGTAAATTACATGAATTGTACTTTCAAACTAAACAATTTTTCTTTTGAGGAAATACATTGTGGCATTGGAATTCATGATACTTTTTCTTTCTCTTTCAAATGTAATTTATTCTAACCTGGATTTAAGAAGTCAAAATAATTGCATAATTAAAAAATACTAATTTTTTAGAGATTTTAAATCATTATCTGTAGAATATATACATTTTAAAATGTGTGTATATTAGTGAATTATGCATATTTTTGCTCATATATTTGTATTCTGGCACAGCAATTCTATTTAGAAAGTTATTTTGAATAAGCACTTAAAATTAAAGTAATATACAGTATTTCTAGCTTCCAAAATTTCTTGCTTTATCAATTCTTTCTTAGAAATGTTTGACATCAGTGTTAAGAGGAGTGAAAATGAGACTTAGCAAAGGATTGAATTACTTAAGCTTGGTGCTTTTTAGTTTTTTTAGGAACTTTGAAGATGGAAAATATTATTTATAAGGCATAAAAAGTACTCACTAAACATTCTTTCTAAATAGTAGGCAATTAATTAAAGCTAATTAGATATCATAATTGTACTGACTGAGCATTTAACAAGATTAGTAAACCGACTAAATTTAAGCAATTTTTAATCCAAGTTTTACAAATGTACCTATAACTTCAAATAAAGTTCTAGACCCCAGATTCATTTTATTTTGTATTTAAAAATATAAAAATCAGTGTAAGCTATTTCTAGCAATGGATGGGTTAATTTGAAGATTTTAATTATTTAGATGGACTTGGAAATTTTAATTTTATTATTAATGTAATCTTTAAAAAGTGAAGCATTATCCTGACCAGAACTAGATGCTGACACAATTGATATTCTGCATTGTGATAGTATGGTACCACCACCCCTTGTATCATGATAACTATTCAGTTAACAAATATATCTTGAGAATCTACAGTGGACTCTTCACTCTGCTAGATTCTAAATACCAAAGGTGAATGCCTATTCTTGACCTCATGAATATTGAGGTTTAAAGGTTTATCAGGGGAGAATGAAGATGTACATCTTAGTCAACTGAGGTGATTTTCACCCCAGGAGACATTTGACAATTTTGGAAGAGATATTTTTGAATGTCATAACTTGAGGGAGAATGCTCCTGGCCTGCAGGAGGTAGAAATCAAGAGTGCCTATTAAACATCCTATGGTGATGTTAAAACATCATATAATAAAGAATTATCCAGTCTAACATGTCAGTAGTGCTTGATCTAAGTGTGACACACTTTTAGAGCTACTATTTTAGAATGTTGCACAGACTCTGATGAGAACACAGAAGAGTAATTGGTCAATTTGACAATTCAACAAAGCAAGCATGGTTGTCTCAATAGAGGAATAATTCAAAAGAAAAGCTATGTCTGAGTTGATTCTTGAAAGGCTGAATGGGAGATGTTCCTGTGGAGGGAAGGAATTGGAATCAGAAGCTTTCCAGACTAAGGCAGCAAAATGAACAAAGGTGTGAATGTGGAAAATATTTTCTTATCTTTGGGAACTATAAGAAGTCTAGGCTGGGTAGACTGGGTATGGGAGTAAGACTTGAGGTTTGGGTGAGTAATTAGGAAATTTATCCTGAGAGCTTTTCTTACTCTGTCATAGAGGTAGATTTTCTCCTGAAGA